CCACACAAAGAAGTTCGCTGATTCTGTTCTAAACCTTTTGGATTTCGGCATTCTCCTGGTGTACCTTCAGAAGGAAAAGATATATAATAATAAGGTTATTACGAGGATACCTCAAAGTGTGCACTCAGTCAGTACGCCGCACATCGACCTCGCTGCGCGTTGGTTATACTCTAGCAGTAGTGTCTTCGTGCATACTTTGAGGTAACCTCGTAATAACCTCATATTCTAATGAACTCGTGTGAGAAATCTCATTCCAGGTCCTCGAGGACATGGAATATCACACATCCTGTAAGTACTGTTAGTGACAACATCCATTCATATATTTCAGAAACACAATACGTATATTGGTTTTCGGGAGAAACGCCGCAATACTACCTTGACGGATTCGTAGGAGACTCGTGTAGTTGCGCCGCTGATGGATCGTGTGCGGGCAATTTTGAACATCAATGCAACTGTGATGCCGCTGGCTACCACGAACGGTAAGGTTACCGAGGAAAAAAACTGATATTACGTTTCGAAATTCTTATTATCTTGAATCAATATTTTACGACAATATGTTGATGACAGAAATACAAATGAAGTGCGATCACAGATTTGTAGACTGGATACGGTATTTTATCGTAAGAATACGAATAATAGACAAGTGAGACAGTCTCGGGGTCTGGGGCGTACGTATAGATCAGTCTGCGGATGTGTGTTACCATGGTAATGGCAAACCAGTGATGACACGGAATTCTGTGCCGTCTACGCATTCTTAGACAACTTAGGCTTGGAAGTAAAAAACACACTACCTGGCAGTTTAAAGCGGGGAAGTCGTCATATGCGCATGCGTCAGATGACCATAAGTCTTTGCGCTTTCAGCGTATGTTGTTATCAGGTGACGACCCCCCCCCCGATTTAATGACGTATGTACGTGTATATCCTGTGTACATGCAATGAGCACACTATTCTGTCATTGGCTGTGATCTCTTTAGAGAGAATAAGTAATGGGTATGGGGTATCACCTAGGTGACGTCATATTATATTTACATCATTTTCATTTAAAATACAAATTAACAATCTCTCTTTGTTTAGATTTGACTCTGGATTTTTACAAAACAAAACATATCTGCCAGTGACGAAGGTCCATGCTGAGGGTGCTCACGCCGATAGTGTTGGTGGGATAACTGTCGGAGACCTGAAATGCTGGGGTAAGACAGTATACCTTGAACGGAAATGGCCGACGAGATCTCGTTGTGAGCGAGAGAGTTAAGGGATTTGTTTTTTACTCGCTCAAATAGTGCTCTACTCTCTCGCGTCGTGGCGTCCACTGTTTCTAAATATATCGTTATACATTTCAGTGGGACAGTGGGCGCGACGACGTGCGACAATGATACATTATTTGAAAAAAAAAAAATGCTCGTGCCACTCTCGTTCTCAGTGAGATTTCGACGACTGTTTTTAACTGAAGTCTTATAAGATCATCCACGGCAGAGGAGACATAAGAAAAATCTGCTGCACTGCGCATGCTTTCATGCAATTATCAATCTAATAAACAACAAATTTACTGGAACAGATTTAGTGGGAACGCACGCGCTAAGTCACGTGTTATTCGTATCCCTGAACGCAATGCGGCAATTACCTCATTGTGATAATGTGACCCATCAGTTTATCTGCATACGTCGCTGATCAGGCTTGAATTAAACAAATATG